CCAAGCTCGCTGTCTCCCTTCCTGGGTCCTTGCGCTCTGGGGTCCCCAGGAGCCGAGTCCTGGACCCGCCTGCGTCCCCTGCGCACTCACCAGTCAGACCCCGGCTGCCCCGCCCTCCCAGGCCAGCGCTGAAGTGTGACAACGGGGTGGGGGACAGACCTGCGCCCTCTCCTGGGGGAGCGCTGGCCCTGCACAGCCTCTCTAAGGACCCAGGGGACGCTGTGGCTCCTTCGTCTGTAGGCACCACAGCCTGTGCTGGGCTGGACTCTGGGGGAGCAGGGACACCGAGGCCGCTTCCCCGCACCCAGCAGGGCCCCCCGGGACCTGATTGGACTCCGACAGTGGCCTCAGGAACTGCTGGTCCTCATCGGAGCAGCAGGCAGGGCTGGGCCTTCCCTGTCCCTCGCCCGCTCTGGCTTCCCCACGGGCTGGAAGCTCTCACGCGTCTGCTTCCCAGAGCGGCTGGAGGCAAGAGGCCCAGGCTCTGCTGGGGTCCGGCCAAGGCCAGTTTCTTCCTGGCGTCCCCAGGCCTTGGGCCAGAGAGTCCTATGGTCAAAGCCAGTGGGTGGCTTGACCCTTCCTTGGGGTCTAGGAGATGGCGTCAGCTCTAGACACCCAGCCCTGGCGGGTGGGCAGGCCACTCCGCGATGGCTCCTGCCTGTTTGTCACCTGCCTGTCTGTGGGGCAGAACATGTCACAGCTCCCTGTGTCCTTCTGGACCAGCCCAGGACCCCACAGACCCAGCCTAGGGCTGGCCTGGTACCACTGAGAACCCTGGACACTGAGAGCCCAACTGAGGCAGGGGCTGGGGGTGGACACAGCTCCGTCCTGAAGGGCATCTGGGCTCTCGTTGGTGGCACCAGGACCCAGGTTCAGAGTGTCCCTGGAATCCTTACCAGCTGGAGGACAGGAGGAGAAGGTGCGGAGCCCCTCGCAGATGTGGCAGACGAGGCCCAGCTGGTACCCTGTGTGGGGGGTGGCATGAGGCTGCCCCTCGGGCCACCGGTGCTGGGGTGTGGGGTGCTGTGGTCGGTCTCAGCTCAGACAGCTGGCGCAGGGTTGGCCGATTCTGGGAGCTCCAGGGACACTGAGGACAGCGCGGAGGGAGAGAGCGTGGGAGGGCCCTCCGTCCTGGGCTGGCCTGTGGCGGGAAGCAGTGCTTGGGACGCGTGTGCAGGCGCCTGCCCAGTGCGTGCTTGCCTAGAGTGCATGGAGTGTGCACGTGTCACGCCTGTGTGCACACCCCGGGCCTCCCCCAGGCCCGCCTGTCCCAGCAGTGCAAGTCCACACTCTCGGCCCCTTTGGCCTGTCCTGTCAATCTGGGAGGGGGTGACTCCTGGGAGCATAGGTCCCCTGGCCGTCCTCCAGGCCGCCCCAACATCCCTGACGTCCTAACCACCCCTGCGATGTACAGATTCCAACCCCACCTCCTCTTCCTTCCCGGCACGCCACAGTCTGACCAACTCGTCTCCTTAGTGGGTTTATTGTCCACCTCCCTCGGGAGCTCGGGGCGGGCGGTTATTTGGCCCTGCTGTGGTCCCCGCTGGGCCTGGCAAAGAGAAGGAGCTCAGAGTGAATAAAGCAACAAAGGAATGAATGAATAGTTCCCCAAGATGGGGGTGGGAGGGTGGCCAAGGGCGATTAGGGATCCCAAGGCCATAGAAGAATAGCCCCTGCCTGGAGTGACTGAGGCATGGGAGCCACCACAGCCCCCTGAAGATCCTGGCGGGGGCATCGGCCACCCCCTCAGGGTGGGAGCGGGGCTCGGAGACCTAGTGTTGCGCAGAGGCCCCTTTTGCAGCCTGGACATTGGGGTCACCCCTGCCCCAGGCTCAGGGCTCTCTCAGACCTGACGGTGGCAGGTGGCTCCTAGCTGGGTGTCAGGGTGCCGCCTCTTCCCGCAGCCACCTGCACAGACACGCGTGCACATTCACACACATGGGCAGATGCAGACGGCCCCACCAAGCGTCCATCTGTCCACACTCCCACCTGCTCCCCTATTCCCCAGGCCCCCTGACTGCCAAGCTCGAAGTTCTCACACAGTCTCTCCCACCCCAGGAACCTCCCTCCCCTGCCCCAGTCCTGGTCCCCAGCCCCACCTGGCTGTAGCAGTCCCTCCCCAGGGAGGCCTGGCAGGGTGGGGGCCAGCCGCGTGGGAGCCAGTGGAGGCTGGGAGGCCAGTGGAGGCGTGTGCCCCTGCACCAGTCAAGCACTGAGCAGTGCCAGGCCAGGGGGGCCTCGCTCTCTGCACTCCTGGCCCCACGAGGCGCGTCCCCGAATGGGCTGTTCTACAGGTACAGGTACGTGGATCCCCCAGAATGCTTTTGGAAAAGATTTGTTTCTAAAAAAAAAACTCCGCTCCTCCCACGTCCGGCGGTAATTCCACATTCTGTTCTCCACATTCTGGTCTCCACGTCTGTTGTCTGTCCTCTGTCTGTTTATCTGCTCCGTCCTATCCTGGGGGAAACCCGCTGGGAGAGAGGGGGAGGAAAGAGAAAGAAAGAGG